CTCCCCTTACAGCCATACAACATTATTTCTTTGATCATTAAAACATACACAACACATGCATATGAAAGGATAATAAATGCTGCAACAATGTGAGGATATTCAACATGATTGCATCATGTGTCTACAACAGCATCCTGCCCTTCTGTGCTGAGAGCCTGTAGAACGCTGCCTCCAGTGGAGAGGATTGATACATCCAAAACAATACTAGAGCTGGGACCCAGCCACAGGAGGTGGACAAAATAGCACGAATACTTTTGGCTGTAATAAAAGGTACTAGATAATATAGGAAGAAATACATTTTTGAAGCCTTTAATGTTCAGTTTTCACTTAAGCTGCTCCATAATGGTGCCCATTCACCTCTGTAGCTCACCTTAAGGTTGCCCTGTTATTCCTTTCATTCCTGTGTGTTACAGTACAGGCTGGTAAGAATACTGCAGTATGTTTATACTGATGTAATGTGACTCTAAAATAAACATTTGTGTACTTGGAAACTGTTAAGAGCTCGAAATCAGTGCAATAAAAGTCCATATATCCTGAGTTTTAGTTCCCAATATACTATATGTGAGGTTTCATAAATACTACTTCCTATGTTTCCCACAGTGCAGCTCCATATGATCCTGTTAGACCCATACTGTCTGGTAAAAGCCCACTCTCAGACTGTTAAAAGCCTAGATAAACCTGGTGACATCACTAGGGGATACTTTCTTAAATGTTAAAAAGCTCTTCTCAAAGCCACAGAAGGCTTATATAAACTGTTTTGTACTACAAAGACTAACCTGATCTTGACTGGGGAAAAGTGTGGTTCCTTCTTAATTAGCTCTTTTTGGGGGGAGTGGGGGGGTTATTGTGTTAGTTAGTTTGTTTTTATTGTTGTCATAGTAAAAATAGGAAATACAGATGAGGGCACGGCAAACATTTTAAAAAGTATTAAATTGATCAGGAAAGCAAACACAAAATTACACTGCTTCTTTGTGATAAACGGTGCAGCTATGTGCCTGTTTGACAGTATTGCTGTCCAAAGTGTCACTGCCAGAGATAAGAGATTGCACTGTCTGTGCACAGGACATTCCAGGAGCTGAGCTGTATGACGTCTCTCATACAGGATCACATTTCAAAAGGCACAGCTCCACAGGCCCACACTCAAACCACAAACCTCTTTTCCTGGTGCAGCTGATTACTTTGCAAGCATTAAATATCTTCAGGACTGGATTATTAGATAAAGGCATGTGTACACACAGCAGCAATTCATTCCTGATAAACTACCCTCTCTTTCTTTTCTTGTGTTGCATGTGACTACACTAAAGAATTATGCGCTTGTTGTCTTTTTTTCCTGAGCTTCATAAATTTAATCTAGTATCCTCATATACTTCAGTCCCTCTGCACCCTCCTTTCCTCCCCCTCCTCTTCCTTCTTTGCAATGCCCAGCCTCTACTGGCGCCACAGCAGGGTCATCTGGGGTTCTAGCGCAGAGAAGAATGCATAGAAACAAAACTAATACACTTTTACAGAATGAAGCCATACGTGAACCAGCAAAAGCACTGACCAAGACAATCTTATTAAATGCTTTCAAGATTCACTGTTGCTCATATGCTACCAGTTAACTGAATGCATGCAAGGGTTATTTTAATCCCCTGTGACAATTATCTCCTGGTAACCCTACATCCACCGGTGACGAAGTTTGCCAGTTGTTTGGTTGGGGTATCCTTAGAGAGCAGCAGAGTGCCCTGATGCAGTGTTGCTGTGTGTTAAGGAGTAACAGGGGTGAATCAGTGAGTACAAACTGCACACACACAGGAAACCTGATATTCTAGCTTTCGACTAGGACTAAACCCCCATGGAAGGAGGAATATGTGCTTGCGTGTGTTATCAACAGCACTGCAGGACAGTCTGTCCACAGTCAGGTACACTGTGTGTGTGTGTGTGTGTGTTTTCTTTTGTTGTACATTACATCTGAACCACAATTAATCATCATCTAAAGAGTTAAACCTGTCTTCCCATGCATTCACACAAGCTTTCACACAAGCACCAAATAAAATAAAGAAGAATATTTATTTAAATCACTAAAGTATATCGCAGAGATTATCATCAATAAAAAGCAACCCTTTCTAAGTTAATCATGCAAGGAAAGATAAATATGTTCAGCTTCACTGATTGATTAATTCTGTCACTTTCTTTGGCTGTTGAACAAGAGCTGTGCTTGTGAGCACGCACTGTGCCTCTGACCCAGCACTGTTACGCGAAACCCTGGGCACCGTGCTCCAGTGCTCAGCTATGCCGTCACCCCCTCTGGGCATTTAGCAAACTTAGCCCGTTGAGTAGTCAGCAAGCAGCTCCTAAGCCTCGTGAAGCAGCTTAGCACTCCAGCTGCCACCACGGTGGTTACACGTGTGAAACGTGCACTTTCACTGACACATAAACACTGCCTGTGCACGGCCGCAGTGAGATAGGCAGGGCTTGATATGGACATAAATGGGGACAGGTTGGGTAATAGTCACTCCCTCTCAGCTGTAACAACGCACGTTGCTCCTGCTCACACCTGCAGAACAACATGCAGAACACAGGGACAGGGAATGCACAAAATGTTCTGCTGCTCACCACTGCTCATGTTCTCCCTAGGAAAGAGGGAGGTACGACTGTTCCAACAAATCGTAGACATGTGTTGGAAGATGCTGACCAAAACTTTTTTCTTCTTCAGTGCTGGAAAGAACACACTTTCCCAGTGAGACATAAATTCCCTCTTACAACTTGCCATCATGCACTGAAATGAACTGAGATGATGAAGAGTTGTTCAGTTTCCTTCACTATTCTCCAAAACATGATGCAGTCCAAATGAACTGCTACACCTAATTAGAATCAGTTATGGACCACAACAGCCAAACAATCTAGTTTCTCTGACAACCACACAAAAGCATATTTATATTAGAATTCCTGTAGACATAGGAATATTATCAGGGTTTGTGTTCACTCTTACTGTTGGTTGCTATTTGCAGTTTTTTGTCATACTCAGTAAAAGTCAGTTAATCAACTAAAATCTAAATGTAAACTATACTGTAAGCTCAGAAACCATAGAGCAGCATTAAGGCTTCTTTTTATATGAAGTAAGCCTGGTGATTTCTTTCTGCTTTGGCTTCTCTCCAGTTGTTTCTTTGATTTGTGACTCAGTTGAAGGATAAATATACATAGCTTTATCTTGCTTATTTCATTGTCCTTCCTCCTCCTCACTTTTTCTCTCCTATAAGGGAGAAAGAAGAAGCAACCAGTAGAGCAATTCACAGCAGAGGGATTCACAGGGATGTACTGAGGATTTGATACATACCCTGAAATCTGGATTCAATACATTAGAAAATGTGTTTGCTAATCTAGAAATAAATTCCTACTTTAGGGTTTTAAAGTTTCTGCAGCTGTGCCCTTAACAGGAAACAAATTTGCAAATTGTATCAAGCGTTAAGTTTCATTGCCACCACGACACTGTCTGAAACCTTCTCTATCATGTGAATGTATGCTCAGGTGGAGACTAGCCTCTAGTATATGTATATAAACTATTTTTATGTATGAAGTCACACAATCTACAAAGACTTACCAGTGCTTTTTCATTATTTATTAGAAATTATTGGGGTTTGTATTTCTTCTTTTCACCCCAATTATCATCCAGTGAACCTTCCATATGTTGTCATTTGACCATACCCGTCTGTGCTCTGTGTGCTTCTGTTTTGGACTCTTACACTGAACGTTTGCTCTTATGTCAAACATGTCACAAAGAACAAATAAACACACAAGAATGCATAGTGAGATACAGCTGCTGATGTGTTCACTATGTAGCTCATCAGAAATATTGGCTTTTTTTTTTATTAAAAATAATGAAAAATGTTGTTTATCTATTGAATATGTATGATATGAAGCCTTTATGAAAGCCAGTGGAATGAAGTGAGCATCTTTCTTTTTTAAGCATCAGAGCAAGTAAGCCAAGAAATGTCTGATAATCAAATAAGATTTCTAGATGTGCCAAAAAAATATGTGCTTATTACTTTTGTGGTGTGATTAGAATAATAAGCAAAGCAACACCAGTGTGGTTAGCAGAGGTGTAATACTAACATTATCTAATAGCTACAGAATTAAAAGAATAATATTATCTCCTTATATAAAAACATGTTTTCCCACATTCAGCACACGTCTATTTTCTCAAATGACTGAATGACCACCAACCACATTACCTCAGTGATATTTGTAACAGCAGCAGGAGGAATCACACACACACCTGCTGAGTCACACACACACACACACTGCCTGCCCTCTGTGTCACGTTGCATGCATGTTATCCATCTTAGGCAAACTCATGACTGCTGGCCGTGTGACATGCATCGTGTGTGTTCGCTCGTGTCCACCACTCACATCCAAACTCAGGCCATCTACCTGTACAGCTTAGCTCTGGAAAGCGCTGCAGAGTTTAGAATGAACCAGACAAAACCTTATAAAAATGTTCTAACAGCAAATCTGACTGCAGCAGGGTCAAGTGAGGCACCAGAAATGTGACACCTTATGAGAACAGAATGTTTCTCTGATGAGACAGTTTAGTCTTGTGTTTAACCTGATTTCACTGCCTGTGACAAAATGTGTGACACTGGCCAAACATTGTGAAGCAGTACTGGTCTGATCTTTCTCAGCTGTCTGGTCGCACTCTGGTTCTCACTGCTGTGCATTCTGGGTTATTTTGGTGCACTGAAATAACCTAGTTTGGACATGTTCCCTCTGTAATGTTTCCACATGACCCATATGTGGCTAAGACAATACAGAGCTGTTTAGGTGGTGTTTAGCGCCCCCTGCTGGCCTTCCTAATGTCATGCATGAATATAAAAGGTCAAACATGTCTCACAGTTATTTTTCTCTCATTCAGGCAAAAATTGTTTACTGTACACAGAGGGCACATTCAAACCCAGGGACACAGACACATACCAATGATGATATTCATGCTTTCTTCTTTCTGCCATGGAGTGTAGTTTGCATATATTCGAGTCCTCTTCACAGATCCTCCTTAATTAAGAGCTGACTGGTGTAAGCAAGTGTGTTTAAAACTCAGGCAAGGCCAGTGAAATTCCCCTAATAACACTACACACTTCACAGTCATAGGTGGCGCATGGCATATTCCCTTTCATCTCTCCAGTGCCCCAGAGACAGAAACTTGGTTTGCAAGGGAGGGGTGAGGAGTGGAGTCGAGGGGGCTGAACCTTTCATTTTTGCCCCAGGGGTGTGCTGCCGCTGTTGCTTTTTCTTTGTCTGAAGTATGATTAACAGAAAGCAAAAAGAAAGAGGGTACATATGAATTGTGTGAGCTGAGAAAAGCTGCCATTGTCTCAAATCTTTACAGCATTTTACATGTGTGTCAGGCACTACAGTTGTGATCTGATTAGACAAAAATAGAAATCCCATACTGTGAAAACACTATTACAAATTAAAGTCCTACATTCAAGATGTTATGTAAATAAAAGTATGGCTGTTTCTGCATTAAAATGAGCATAAACATCAAAAGTAAGATGACTGGTTATACAGAAAGGACCATTTAACTGCTCTGTGTGTTTCTTAGTGAGATGCCTGATTTAAAAAACAACTTGAATGAGCTTGAACTTAAATTCAATTCTATTTGGGAAGATGTGGATAAGTTAGAATTATGTTTCATGCTCTGTAACCACTGCAATCGCTGTCTTTTGAAATAAGAGTTGCCGATAGTAACACACTGCCGCCTTACAAGGCCAGAGAGCAAAACAGTGAAGTTGAGAAATAGAGTTTGAAGTTCGAGGGACTTTGGTAGCCTGCTTGTTTTGACGGCCGCTCTTGTCAGGAGTCACCACAGTGGAATCATTCATCTACATATGGATATTTAGATCAACATACTGTATGTTAATGCTACAGATTATTACATTGGAAACGCTTCCCGACATAACCCTAACAATTTATCTGGGCTTGGGACCTGCACTGGGAGCGCACTGGCCTGTGCAACCCTCGCCCCAGTGACTGGGTGTGGTGCACTGGCCAGGAATCAAACCCCATAAGGTGAAAACACTACCTCTGGGTGACCAGTACACTCTGTGGAAGTAGTAAAACCTTTAGTAAAACCTTACTTAATAGCCTTTTTTTTTTTTTTTTTTTTCTAATTTTTGTCAAGGATGCTTTAAATGCTGTGAGCTGTCTCCGGCTCTAACCACTTAACATCGTATGATCTTGTCTTGCTCTCAAATGTACAATGTTAACATTTGAAAATACCAAATTAGTAACTTGTAACTGCTGTAATTATGTAGCTGAGAAAACAACACATTTCATTCTAAAATCTAGTGATTGTGATGTTTCACAAATTGGAAATATCAAATAAATCGTTCATAAGGTGATAATATGTACATTTTCACATTCTTCCACTGCTGCCAGACACAGCTTAAAGAGCTTTGAGGAAATTGATATCCAACTATCCGACTATCTTCAGATAAGTAGTGTAGATAATGGGTGGATGGATCATTAATCTCTGGGTCAGTGCAAGGAACCTTGGTTGGTTTTAGTATAATACAGATATTTCTCCACAAGATGGCAATATTTTTACATAAGCTGTTATAAAACGAAATAATTACAGCATTGAGATGAAGTATGGTGTGTACTGAGCGTGTATTTAGTTAGCTTTAACATTTAAGCTGCAGTTTACTCCTTGTGGTAAAAGTATGCATTTCTCATTTGCACTTGGCTCTGGCTAGAGTCAGGGTCAGTGTTGCTGTCGATGGTGTCGGCAAGCTTAAGACAAGACCAGAGCTTCCTACAGCTCTTGCTTAACCCCTGAGGGTCAGCAGGCCTTGGGTTTCCTGGATGAAGATGAACTTCCACAACACTAGGAGCTGAAAGGAATGGTCCAAAATTTCTCCTGAACATTGTACAGGTCTGATCCACAGCTACAGAACAAGAAGTGTTTGTTTGAGGCTCAGCCTGCCAAAAGAGCTTCAACCAGTCATTACATCCTACACTGTAAATTTATTATTGTAAAAAGCAATATTTTGTGCTCATATATTCTTATATTGCTTTGTAAGTGTGTAAATCTGTAACCTGAGAACCTCTGTTAATCAGGACCTGTTAAAAATAAACCCACACACAATGATCGCATAGCAATACAGCTGTGTATTACATTTCCATTAAGTTCTATTTGTTGTTCTTTGTCTAAATTCAACTCTTTGCTGCTGTAATGAGCCAACTTCCTCTTATCAATTGGTCACACCAATAAAGTTAATCTCATTTTGGTCTGTTGCTGTTCAAAGATCAAGCCACTACACCTGAGCGTCTGAGGTTTAACCTGATATCAAACATTAAGGCATGTTTTGTAATTCACCTCACGTAGGTGCCAAACACCCAGTAATGTTTTTCTAAACTGATAACATCAGGTTCTGTGTTTCATATTAAAGATGTTTGTATTATTGATGAGTATTCGGGGGAGTCTTTATACAGTATCCTGCTGTTTGCTACTCTAGGCATTTTCATAAACCATTTTATACAGTCTGTGGCAATAAGGAAGAAAAGGGACTTTGCTCACATCGTGCAAGTCTTGTGATTCTACAAAAGTGCATCTGATTATCACACTGACCAGACACTGCCTAACATCTGTAAGGTAACAATCTTATTTAAAAACTTTTTTTCTTACAAATTCCATCTCACTTACACAAAACACTGGTTTTCATTTGTAGGTTTAATCGGTTATGACACTATTTTGCATTGCTGTTGACTTGCATGATTTCCTCTATTACTACAACTCCTTAGAGCTATGCAGCATAAATATTATAACCTGCCATTTCTGTAAGCTAGTTAGAACATGTTTGAGTAGATTAAATGCTCACTAGTGGTGATAAGATGATGGGAAGAACTAATTCAATGCCGTTCTTCTACAGAGAAAATGCACTGCAATAACATAATCTCACTGATTAACTGTGATGTGTAATAGATGATAAAGATATTTGCCAGGTGTGCGGTGCTGTGACATGATTGATCATGGAATGGAAGAGTAATCTTTGGCGCACTCAGTCACTGAGTAGCATCCAGTCACCATATGACAAGCCCACCTGGATAGAGGCAGGATGGCAGGATAAGAAAGCATCTGTGTCCCAGCTAGTTGCCAGGTGAAGAAACATCATCTTCCTCATTCTGTAACAACAGGACCACAGTACATCTGTGTTAGTACAAGATGAATACAACTGTTGTGTGCATAACAGGTATCAAACTGCAGCAGAAGTAAGAACATCAATTCAAGCAAATTCAATAAACACCAGTGAGACAAAGCCACAGCAAGTGCTAAAACAGGTAACGTCTGACTTTCCAGTGTAACATTTTTGAGCTGTTTACATGGCTCATAAACAACACAACTCCAGCACAGGGAAAATAATCAATGCAGCTGCATGCAAACATGATTTTCCCTAATGTATCAGTGTCAAATAACACCATCTCTTCTGGGGAAGGACACGCATCGGCAGCAACTAATGAGGAGAAATGATGAGAGAGAACGGTCTCAAGCCAAAACCAATTTGAGCCGCAGTAAGTCTATGGGAAGCCTTCAAAACAGCACAGGATCCATAGAGGTCCTGAGAGCTCTGTTTGAGTCAAAGGCCACTATGCAGAACAAGGTGAAGAGCAGTTTCAGAACCACAAAGTTCACATCCCCTTACAAAGCAGCAGACATGCCAGTAATAAACAGAGAGGGTGAAGAGCTAAAAAACACTGCAGAGGAACCGAAGAACAAAATACCTGCTGATGCTTCTGTTAACACTGCAAAAACCACTGCAAAAGAGGATCATGTGACTCGAAAGGTAAATAAAATTATAAGCATAAAGGTTACAAAGGTTTACAAAGTATTTCACAAGTGAAGTGCTGTAGGTATTTGTACATTTCTCAGCTAATTAGAATTTTAAAATATTGACTTGTACTTGTGTTTGCTTCACTTAGTGTTACTGTGAAGATAGTTGATGTTGGACTGATAGCAGGTTCAATTTAAACACATATCCAGTGTCATTACACAACATTCAACATATTGCTTCCCAAACAAAATTAGGGCAGTAAATTCCCATATAGAAACACACAGGCCTCGTTAGCAATGATCATTATTTTTTTCTTTGTAGGTGGTGAATCAGACCCGAGCAGCGAGAAGAAAAACAATAGGGGGAATTGATTTTGAAAGAATTGCAGCCTCTCAAAATGGTGAGTGCCATAAAGCGCCATCGTTCTTCGAGATCAAAATTTTTTTTTATCAAGGTCTGTCTGCATCTGCGATGAACTGCCAGCCTGAGCAGTGTTTCCCCGCCTGTTGCCCAATAAAGTTAGTGAATGAATGAAGGAAAGGTTCAAAGAGTAATTCACAATAGACATTTGTGACGTCAAAGAAGCCTGTAGATTAATTATCAGTAGAACATAGATTCAAACTTTTTTACTGGCAGACAGAGTTAATAATTAACAAAAACATATAATAAGGCCAATTTATAAGACCAAACATAGATTATATCCCTGATCAAGGATGTGAATCAACTGTCAACTGGCATCATGCCCTCAAATTACTTAAAGATCATGATTTAGCTTTTAAAAGTCAGATATCAGTGTAACATGACTGATCGTTCAAGAAAGTACATTAGCACCAACCAGCAAAGCTCTCTTTATAAAATTATTAGACAAATTATCAGGGAATTACAAACTTATGACACAAAGGATTACCCAAACATTTTGTTTTTGAGCCATCAAACATGTTAGCTTCTTATATCAGTCTAAATCTTTGTGCAACTGAAAAAACCCCAGACAAGATGCCAGCTTCCTGGAAATCCTCCTGTACGTCCTGTGACTCAGATCAAAGCTGTGGACGGTGTGAATGAAGTGGAGAAGAATATCAGCACAGTGACTGTACAAGAAGATGTGACTGACTCAACCTAGTGTGGGCATAGTTGGCCACTACAGAGCAGGACGGAAATAGCCGGCAGGCTTCAAGTCCAGAATAAATGCAGGAGGGTTAAGGATCAGCTGTCACTGGGGCAGGAATGAGACAGAGAGGGAGCGACTGACAGCGTTCAAGGTGCCATTACAGGAACCATAAGCCAAGTGGAAGTTAGAACAAAATATGTTCACAGAGATTTAAAGAAAATAAGACAAAGAACTGGAAGTGGATCATTTTCTGTGAGTACAGATTTGTATTTTAAGTTTCCACAGCTATGTGAAAGTGAAAATTTTAAGGTATTGAACCTTTAAATTCTCTGCAGGTTGATCTAAACATTACAGCCAACATTCACTAATGCCTCATGCTACGACAAAGGGTTGTTGCTACCTATACCTAAATTATTGTTTCTGTGGACCACTGAAAAACATTAAGATGTGTTAGGTGTTTACTTTCCCCTGTCTGCTTAGTCATCTCTAGGTCTGTAGATGCAGTGACTGTCCGTTTAACTCTATGTATGTCTGTCAGTGGAGTCGGGTATCTGTCCCACTCCACTTTCAGTAGCACGCTTATAACACAACCACATCGCAACTCTTAAATATCATCTTAGCAAGTGCCATTATGAGTGACCTAATGTTATTAGCTATTTACTCACATGGATGTGAACACAGAAGTTGTCAGCATATAATTAAAATGATTCCATTTTTAAAATTATGTTTAAACTGTCTTGCTTTCAATCACATTGTGTGGTGAGTCTCCAGAAATATGCAGGATTTTATTTTGACAAAAGGCAGCTGCCCTTTTGACATCTGAAGTGAGACTAGATTAGGACTACTTTTGTCTTTATCCCAAATCCCATGGGAAGAATTTGATCACTGCTTGTACCTGATACCACTGACAGCGCAAATCTCAGCAGTTCAAAAACCAAAATTTAACACACTAAAACCGCTGTGCCTGGTATCTTTCCAGATGAAAAGAGGAGGTCACTTGCAGACTTCAGAGATAGCTCTTTCCTCCAAACCAAGGAGAAGCTCTATGTCTCGGTAAAAGCTATGTCTGCTCTCTATCTGTCAAAGGTGGCGCCTCAGGAACCAAACCGTCCTTTAAAGCCGGTAAATATCTGAGCACTGTTCTCTTCTTTTCAGTCCAAAGTAAATGATGTTAAAAATTTCAATGCTGCATAAAAATTGGTGTTTATACATAGAAGACTTTCTCCTAAAATGTGTAGATTTGTTTGCTTTGATTATACAAGCTAAATGTTTTTAAGCATGACAAAGGGAACTATATATATGATTACAGTCACAACGCATAGTCACCCTGCTTCACTGTTCTCATCTAAGAGTACAAATCTAAATCAATCACCACTGTCAGGAAAACATTGAGCAAGTAACATAATTATTGGTTTTATCCAGGCACAAGATCAATCATCTGAATCTGAGAAAAAAGTCAAACTTTCCAAGGTAAGGTAGGATTTCACCTTCGATTTTGCATGATGTGTGCACTGGATTTGAGAAAATGTCACAGCAACGTACACATTTTCCACAGTCTCATAAACAGTGTAGCTCAAGTTGCAGTTTTCCTTGAAATAAAGAAACAGATAGAACTTTAGCCATGTATTCTTTTATTTCATTCATCTTTTTGGATACATTTGTGGTTGCATTTGCTGGTTGCTTTGGAGTCCAGCTAATCTACTGACACTGGGCATGTGGAAAGAAAGTCAACTGGCATGATTTGAAAGGTAACATATGGCTCTGCTTGCCTGCCTGCGCACTCTGGAGTATAAAGTAAAAGGGAGTCTAAAGGAGTCAATGGTAAAAATGTTACTTTGTTGTTCTAAGATGGCCGAAGACTCCCAGGAAAGACAAGATGACTTCCCTCCACCTCCTTCAGCCAGACATCAGCCAGGACCAGAAGACGTCTCTGGAGCTCATTCCCAACAATGCATGCCATCCCAACTGTCCAGAGAAAAGTTATACCAACAGCGACAAAAATGTGAGCTGAGAAGGCTCCTGAAGCACACTCACCCAGAGCTGAAGATGTTGGGTGAAGCTGTGGATGAGGAGTTTGCTGAGGTTTTGAGCTCGGAGGCTGGGGTGACAGCTGGTGAAACTGGATACGAGGGAGAGGTCCTCTCCAGATGCTTGATATTTGAGAACTGTGCCCTGAGTAACAAAGTATCTCCTTACAACCCCAAGATGTGCACAGCAGAGGGAACGGCGGAAACACGAGATGCCAGTAAACAATCTGCTGTGTCTGAGAAGCAGGAGGAGAGGTTGTGTAATGAAAGTGTTACAGGGATCGTGGAGGATGACAAAATGCTTGGCTCCAGTCCATATTCTAACAGAGAGGAGGAAGAGAAGATAAGAATAGATGTTCAGGCTACTAGAAGGATATTTGAGAGTCAGGCTGTGAACACATCTAGAGTAAATCCAAATGAAAAATTCCAGGGGAAAGTTTCTATTTCTGGGGATGAGACAGGGGCAGTCCCAAAACAGAAGCAGCAGTTTGAAATGTGTAGCCAAAACGATCAACACAGTAAAAACATCAGCAGTGATACTGATGTGGCAAAACAGCCCCATAAACATGGGTCATGTGCTCATGTTGTGGGTCAAAGCATTAACCGAGATTTTTCTGGGAGGGAGGAGGCTTCTACTGGTGAAACCGGTTTTGAGGATGACCCTACAAGTCTTTTAAGTCCAGAAGGATTTGAGGAAATGATCAAAACAAGCGCAGATCTCTTCAACAACAATCCATTTATCTCAACAAACATAGAAAGAGAAAACTCCCATGTGCATAAATCAATGCCCCAAATCCAAGCTAATCCCAACGGGTCATCTGAGGACAGTCTGATAACTAATGTCAAGAACAGAGCCCATCTATTTGAATCAATGCCATTTGATAAAATTAGGCATCAAAACCAGGATGAAATTGAGACGATGGTGGAAAACATTAAAGAAACTTTGAATTCCCTTTATCTCGCTAATGCCATTCATTCAAACGGATCCATAATTGAGGTGAATGAGACAATGATAGCTAAAAAGGCTAAATTCTCACTATCAGAAAATGGACCAAAGATCAAATATGATGAGGTGGCTGAAGGCGGCACACAGAACTTCATACTCCAGTTGCTACCACGTGCAAACCTAAAGCCTCAGATCACTTACCTGAAGGAGGATAGTAAAGGAAGAATGGAGGTGACAGTGATAAATGTGCCTCTGCACCATCATCAGTTCAT